CCCGGGTGTCCCCTGACGTCCCCTGCCACCCCCAGGGGTCAGCCCCAAGCCCCACATAACTCCTCCCCCCCCAGGGACCCCAAGGAGTCCGTCCTCAACACCTTCAAGCTCTTCGGCCCCACGAGCACCGTGAACAAGGACAAGTGAGCGGGGGATGGCAGGGCCCCTTGGGACACCCGGCCAGGGCCTGTGTCCCCCGGGATGGGGACAGGAGCTGACCCCGGGCTCAGCCCTGGGTGCATGTCCCCGCAGGTTTAAGCAGCTCCTCCTGACCCAGGCGGGTAAGTTCTCCCCGGGGGAAGTGAGGCAGCTGCCCTGGTTGTCACTGTCACCATCACTGGACCCTGCCCACCCTGTCCCCTCGTGTGTCCCTGCACAGGGAGGGCAACAGGACCCTCGGGGGTAGCGGGTGCCCAGGACATCCAGCTCTGCCTGCCCGTGGGGAGACGTGGGGAGGGGGACAGAGCCCCCAGCCCCAGATCCCTGTGTGTCCCCCAAGGTCCATACGTGTCCAGCCCCCTCCCTGTGATCCCAGTCTCCATCCTTGAGATCCCCGTGTGTGCCACATGGACCCTGTCCCCAAGATTGCCGTGTGTCCCCCCTAGACCTCAACCCCAAGGTCCCCATGTGCCCCACGTGGACCCCGTCCCCAAGATTGCCACGTGTCCCCTGTGACCCCTGACCCCAAGATCCTGGACCTCATCCCCAAGATCCCTGTGTGTCCCCCAAGGTCTCTGCGTGTCCCCCAAGGTCTCTGCGTATCCCCCAAGGTCCCTGTCCCTGTGGTCCCCATGTGGCACCCCTCAGCGACCCATCCCAGCCCCCTGGGTGCGTGTCCCCACGCAGGTAGAGTAGTTAACGGTGACGGGAACATCGACTACAAGTCCCTGTGCTACATCATCACCCATGGGGACAAGAAGGACGACTGAGGGGACAGCAGGTCCCCACCCCGCGCCACTCACTCCAGCCAAATAAACCACAAACGAGGGGACCTCCTCCGTCCGCAGGGTCCCCAAGGAGGGAGGTGGCTCCATTCAGCCTGGGCTCCACAGCCCTGCACAGCTCCCAGTGTCCCCATGGAGCTGGCAAGTCCCCAGCACAAGGGACAGCCCCCCCC